AACCATGCTGGCTGGGGAATTCTGGGAGTTGAAGTCTACACATCTTCAAGCTGCCAAGGCTGAGAAACACTGACTTAGGCAAAAAACCAAAGTAACTTTTTGAATGAGCTCAGAGAGGCACACCTTCCAATCATTAGAAAATAATTAAAAATAGCAGCTCCTATTTGAAACAGGAACTTTAACTCTTTCCTTCCTGCAGCCTGGCCAATCCAAAAGTCTTCCCCTCCGCTCAAGCTTGCTTTTTTGCAGAAAGAAGTTTGCAGAGACGCAGCATTTAAGTCTTTTCAAAGAAAGGAAAAAGTTGTCAAACTTTAATTAACAGAAGTGTCCCAATTATCCAAGATTGGAAGCTAGCCCATCTTGGGCTGATCTCAAGAAGTTAAGCAGGGTCAGAGAGACTTGGTATGGAGATGGGAGCCCTTCCTGAGCTTCAGGCTAGAGGAGGAAGTTGAAAAACCATTCCAGAAGAAAAAGGTAGTAAATCATGTCTGCACTGTTTCTAGAACGCTGCATGAATGCATCTATAAAGTCACCAGGAGGCTTTTGCAGAAGAGAAAAATAGCAGTTTTAAAATCCCAACAGATTCACCTTTGTATCCTGGGGATGCAGAAAGCTGGACCATTGAAAGCAAGTTTGTGGAGTGTCCTAAACTTCTGCACAATGCACCTCTTTAAAAAAAAAAATGCACATGTCTTGTCTGTTCTTCTTTTCTCCTTCTTTCCACCCCAAAACGAAGTTGGGGACCTACATCTTTGCTCTCAGCACATTCAAATACTTGGAGATGTTAAAGGGAGAGTGTTCTTGCCAATTAAAGAGAGGATGAGAGAAAGGGATGAAGAGAAAAGCAAAGAGGCTGAAAGCACCAGAAGACAAAAGAGAATGTAAAAAGTAGATAATCCAGGAATGTGTAAAAAATTCCAGGCCTCTCAAACACTGGGATAAGAAGCAGATTTGGGATAAGAAGCAGATTTGGGATTAGAAGCAGATTTGGGATACCCTGGGATAAGAAGCAGATTTGTAAAATATTCTTGGGTTTTAAGCTGCCCCATCAAACCTTAGAGGTTGGTTTCTCATGACTCGGAAGGACCATGAACGCATCATGGTTAACTGGGCTGCTGTGTTTTTCATGTGAGCATGGATGCCAACTCTTCTTGGCAACCTAAGGCCCTCACTGATGGGCTGCATTTTCAAAAGCCATTGGAACAACCTTGCAAATAGTGCCTTCCAAGCTGCTAGTCCTCAACCCTTTTTTTTCAGCCTAGCAGATGCCCCTATGATTGACCTGTGTTAGTACCAGTAATTTAGAGCTGAAGAAGCTAACCAGGTCTGGGTTTTGTAAGTATTTTCTCCCTCTTCGTCCTGAGGTGATGCTTCTGACAGGCAACCAGGCAAGTCATTCTCTTTAAGCTGGTTTGGCATTCTCTTGCTAAGCCACAATACGGTGTTTGATCTTGGCTTAGTCTGATGCCCGAACCTCTGAAAGGAGCTTAAGCAAAATGATGATGAGGCTCACCCAGCGTGCTAAACAATGGTTTTGTTAAAGGTGAAGTATTAAATAAATCTCAAACCTCAGCTGGATGTGCAAAACTTATTAACTTCTAAACCAGCATTAACAAGACACAGTGGCTGAATTCACACAAACCTAGTTCAAAGCAACCACAAATATGGTGGTGCAGTGTATGAATCCAAGGGGTCCTTTATCTCTTAAATATCTCCATGTGAAACAGCGGCTTGATTGCTTACATATTTTGTGGGTGCCTCCAGAAAACATTATTGCATTTCCCCAACCCCATTCCTTAGTTTCTCCTTCTTTTCATTAGGCAAAGAGGCGGGGGGTAGAAATGAATTGTTTTAATTTACACCATTGACTGGAAGGAACTTGATTCTTTATATGTCTGGAAACCTGCTTATTATTTAATACCAGTTAGAAAAATAAACTTTTTAAACAAGAGGGAAATCAGAGGATTTGATTATTTTATTTTTGAACAGTTCATCACTGGAGCATCTGGGGCAAGGAAAAAGCACTTTTATACTTTTTTTCAACAAAAAAGCCACAAAGCATCCAGGTATATCAGACAAACAAATCAAAATTCCAGGAATGATCAAACTGCCAACATCGAAGAAAGATTTCCCCACTCTGCAATATCACTGAAATCATTCACCCCACTGGCCTAAGCTAGAGAAGGTCTGTTTCCTCTCCTTCCATCAAAGATTAGATGGTGAATATTGAATGTTTGACTCACCTGAAGTCCAGAGCTCTTCTCCAGATCAAAACAGGTGGCTGGAAGAAGAGATGGCTGCTGAAAGCACAGCTCTCCAGCTGGAAAGGTGACGACAGAAAGAGGGTGATGGGGAGGGACTGAGAAAAGCCGAGGGTGAGCAATGAAAGGCAGTGGAGAAGGAAGGAGGAGGAGGAAGAGGGAGAAGAAGAGGAGAAGAGGAGGAGGAGGAGGGGAGGGATAGGAGGAGGAGGGGAGGGATAGGAGGAGGAGGAGGGAAGGGAGAAGAAGAGGAGGAGGGAAGGGAGAAGAAGAACATCTTGTGTTTTTCTTAGAAACACGCACTGACCTAAGTGTGTGAATGCTTGCCCACACAGCCACACACTCCTAGTTCTCCCTTGTGTCTATTCCTTGTGCAAATTAGGTAGCTCCTCAGGAAGACCCTTCAACTGTAGCTGAGAGATGCAAAAGAATTCAAGACCACTGGGGATCCAGCGTTCCTGAGTTAGACCGCTTTAAAGGTCCGGGATACTTGAAGCAAGGCTAACCCACAGGCCTACCGTCAAGAGCAGGTTGTTCTGAAGCCTTCATCCCTTCGACAGCACGTGTCTTTTCATGGAATTGTAGTCAGATGGGAGCTCAGAGGTCATCAAGTCCAACCCCCTGCCCACTGCAGGATTCACTACCCCATCCCCTTTGAAATCCTCCAGTGAAGGGGCAGGAAAGTTCACTTTAACCAAATTGGCGTCATAAATCGGTGTCGTTTTATTTGCAAAGCTCTGGTCACCCATGTTGAGTTTCCTCAGCATGGTGGGTCAGAGTTCTGGACAGCTAAATTCATAGCTCATAAACTCACTACTGGGCTGACCTGCCAAGCAGCTATAATATTGAAATGTCCTTGGCAAAAACAAAAAAGTTAATATACTCAAAGGAGAGTTGTGTCATTATTCAATTTTTTATTTGGTTTCCTCCCTGACAGATTTTTCACGGGTTCACTTACTCCAGTGTTTCTCAACCTTGGCAACTCTAAGATGGGTGGACTTCAACTCCCAGAATTCCCCAGTCAGCCATGTCTAAGTCTAAATACAATTCAACTTTGGAAGCAAGTTACCAAAAAAAGCTTTGCCACCTGTAAATTTTGTAAATATGGCGAGAATCAAATGTGAATGGGAAAGACACAGTTTTCAACCATGCTTGGCAATAAATTCTTCAGGCAAGTATGATAGTGTTCATACTGAAATGTTTTAAATTATTAACAAATCTCTCTAGACTTTTAAATAGACAGAAACTTTATTTCAGTCACTGGCCAATAAAATTTAAATAGTCCACTAAATGTGATGTTTCCGAGTTAAACAACCTTCTCTTAAAACTTGATGAAGAGGCTGCTTAAATCTGAGTGCTTAAGTGCCATTTTTTATGCCTGATGGGAGATGGTAATTCACTGGATGATAGCCATGCTTTTGGGTAGGGGGGAACATTGGGATTTTGAGAGTGTTTGCAGGGTCCTCATAAGATGACAGCCATGAACAGAGGAGCTTCTCCATTCAAAGTGGCCACCACAGAGAGCCCAACCAGTGGCCCACCACCTCACTTGCCAGAAATCACAAGGGTGAACGTTGTGCCTCGCCCTCTTAGCTTCCTAGGATTCCTCTTTTCTCTGGATAGGTGGGGGACACTTCCACAGTTGCCATCTGGGAGACCCAGATGCATTTGTGGGCATCACACTGAAGGGAAACGGTGGATGCCTGGCACCACAGTATGCCAGCTTGGCTGGTAGTAAAAGATGGAAGTCTCCTTCAAGCTTGACTCCACACACACTGTATTGTGCTGCCTGGAGTCCATGCTGTGTACGTTGCAAGCCAGGGCATGGATTAAGAATGCTAAAAACCCAGCTTAGAAGCTTCGCGGAGCCACCAGCAGCCCTTCTGCCACCTTCACAGCTCCTCCAGAATAGAATTTAGCCCCACATTTCATCCTTATTTCATTGGTGGAGGGGAAAGGGGAAAGTTAGGGGACAGAAGATTCGAGTACTCATTTCAACACCCTGGAAAATGCCCAAGGGATCCTGCCCTGTGCACCCCACAGCATGGTCCCTGATATGCTTGGGACATCTTTTCAATGGATGGAAGTTGACCATAATTGGGTAAACTTAATTCATTTCGAGGCAGCTTTGGATGTCCATCTGTCTGCCCATCCCTCCTCCTTCTCTTCCTTCTGAGTTTAACTGAGACCCCCTTCACCTTAATGAAGCTCTTCTACAAGCACCATCTCAAAAAAAGTTTTATTAGCATGATTAAAAACATGTGCTGAAGACCAACAGAAAATAATTTCAGAAACACGGAAGGAAAAAAAAAGTCTAGCCCGACGTTTGACCAACCCAGATTTCAAGTTGAGCGGATGGACAATTCTATTGTCGGTATTCGCTTTATATGTCCTTGAGGAAAATGGGCTGGGCTGGCTTTGTTTGCATCATTTCTTGGCAATTACTGGATCAGTAGTCCTACAAGGCTAGGTATAAAAATATCTCCACTTCATCAGATGTGTCCTGGGTTTAAGAAATCATAATGGAAAGAACTCTGATGTTTTCAAAAGGATGTCCTTAAAAAAAAAGGGTATTACGAAGAAATTAGTATTTTGATTTTCAGTCATGATGCCAACTGAGGTTAGACAACCACAAAAATCCCCCGTCCTGTAATTAATCGTAATTAAAAACAAAACCACAAAATAAACAAAAATCAACCAATCAAAAGAATCAAAATGGTTTATTCGCTGGTGGCTTCCGGTTGGACCCGAGGACACGATTCAGATTGGCTTGAGCACAAAGACGGCGTCATCCAAGACGTAATAGTCGTTGTACATGTCGCCTTCGCACAAGTATGGTAGTCTGGTGAATGCCTCGATGGCAAAGCCAGCTTTCTTAAAAACTTCGGGAAGGCTGTTCACCTGCTCCTCCCACGTCTGTCCTTTGATTTCCAAAACTTCGGAAGGTTTGTCCCACTTGCCACCTACTGAGAGAGCACACGCTTTTGTTAGTTCCAGTCGACGAGGAGGACCGCAAACAGGATGGACGTCGTAAACAGAATTAATGGACGTTGTACACGAAGGTGATTGCAAGGTGGGACACCGGCTGTCAATCAGTTATAATGCAACTAAGCAGTGCAGCCCTTTCTTTATCGAAAAGTGCACCTCTGAGGTCCCATCAGATGGCAAAGGTTAAGGGAGGCGCCTGGAGCACGCCTGCCCTATCTAACCTAGGAGGACAGGCAGATACCCTCGGGGTATGATAACCAGCACCTTGAATTGCACCTGGAAAGCAACTGGAAGCCAGTGCAGCTCACGCCACAGTGGTGTTACTCGGGTGAACCGCGGGGCACCCAAAACGGCACGTGACGCTAATTGCAGCTTCTGGATGGTCTTCAAGGGCAGCCCCATTTAGAGGGGGTTGCAGTAATCCAAATGGGAGTTGACTAAAGCGTGGGTGACTGTGAGCAAGGCCTCCCGGCCCAGGAAGGGGTGCAGCGGGCGCACAAGATGGATTGGTGCATCTTTCTTTCTCTAACCCGCCCTTTTTTCCTCCTCCCCGAGCCAGAGCAAGCAGTTTTTACCAAAAGCTGAACTGATCCCTCGAGGAGGAGTTTTGACGTTAGATTGGGGGATGTTGGTTGCTAAAGCTGGAGGCTTGAAATAATTAACTAATAGGTTCATTTAGGGAAAAGGCCTCTCACCTTCCCCGTATTCCTACGAGCAACCGGTGAGGATTACTAAATATCTGAAAAGATCCTGAAGGTATGTTTGTGGGTTGATTTCTGAGGAAGATCTCAGATAACTGGTAGTGATCATTCTTGTTTCCGTTGTATCTGGGAGACCTTACCATTTTCCACATATGGATGAAAAGGCAGAACCAGTGCCAGAATGACTCGGCCTCTCGTCGGCTCCAGCACGCTCCTGATATCTTTTAATACGGTCAACGGCTGGTCGCAGCGGTCCAGCAGATTCAAGCAACTGATGACGTCATACTGGAATCCTGTGTTCTGCCATTCATTGATGCCAAGCACCCTGCCAAGGTGGGAAAAGGCACAGGGTTATACCCAGTCGAGGGTAGATTCTTCACTTCTAATTCACCCTGATAATGAAGTGAGACAGCCACAATAGAGTTCAACCTTGACTTCAGCAAGGCTGTCCCATACCTAAAACCTGGGAAGAGACTAGGTTTCTCTCTTCGCATGGTTAGTACATATTGGGCCGGTGGCAAAATCAATGTGATGTGATTACTGAATAAGGTGTGGAAACTACAGTCCTGGGGATGTTGCTGCACAACAACTCCCAATATCCCTTCCCATCACTGGTTTTGCTGGTTAGAGTGGCTGAAGTTCAACAGCCTTGGAGAAGGCCAGGATCCTCCCCGCTCTACGCTTTCTGGTTAGCTATTGGCAAAATTTAAGCTTAAAGTTCATAAGGAAGGAGAAAAGCAGGCAAAGGAGTCCGGTTGGTGTGAGAATAGGTAGCCTGGACCAGATGTGGAGGCCATGGGGTAGAGGCCCAGATGTGGAGGCTATGGTGGAGAGCAGTGTTTCTCAACTTTAAGATATATGGACTTCATCTCCCAGAATTCCCCAGCCAGCAAGCCTGGAGCTGAAGCCCTGGAAATTTGGGAGTTTTTTTTTTTTTTTTAAACTGCAAAATTCTGTCTCTTTCTGTTTACTGTGTGAGGGCTATGTAGTTCAAGGAATGAGGGAATCATCTCCTTGGATACCCTAATTTTCCTGATTGATAGAGCAGTGATAGGTCCTAGAACAGCATGAATTGCTAAACATCCGTTTTGAAGCAACATGGTGTCCATTTAGTATCATACCTGTATTTCTTCTTTTGAAGCTGCCAAATCATTGTTTCAGACAACTCAGTCACGTATGTTTCTTCAAAGTGGGGACTCATGACTTTTGTGACTTCGCCATCTCCAGCTCCTAAATCGAGAAGCCGACGGGACTTCCAGTCTGGATTGATTTTGAGCAGTCTCTGAAATTGTTCAGGTGAAAACACAAACATGGAACCTCTTCCCAGCAAGCTGAAATGTTAAAGACGGGGAGAGATGAGTTTATTTTGGAAGGGGGCACACTGGAGGCCATGTTTCTTTAATGTTGGGGACATGGGGGGGAGCTATCGTTATGGAGAAACCAGAAGATAAGAAAAGGCCTTATCGAGAGTTAGACATGGATTAATCTCTAAAAAGCCATGCTGTTAATTCTGACTGCTCTCAAAGTTTCGGCTTGGAGAGCGTTTTAAACACAGATGCTAGGACAGGGTGGGGGTCTTCAGCCTTCAGAACACAGGCTCCGTATCCGTTGTGGCCCCTTCCAAAGCCTGTGTGAGACTGCGCATGTTTCTTTTCCCCCACCGGGAATTGTTTCCTTCAGCACTCTTCCTCCTGACCGTGGCATGCCGTTTGAACTGGCTCCATCTTCAGAGGGCATACAGGAACAAGAGGGCAGAGGAGAGATCCCAAAGACCCCCCTCCTTTTTTAAAAAATGAGGATACGCAACCATAGAAACCACCAGTTCAAAGAGAGGCCGAAGGTGACACGGTCAGAGCAGAGCGGTGGGAGACGAGATTGAAACTTTAAAACCGCCTAATGCGGCGATCACAGCTCACAAATCAGGGCCTGAGACTGATTTTTTATTTATTTATTTATTTTATTTATTTAACTTGTCCCCGCCCATCTCCCCACAATGTGCTTGTTTAAGTCATGTGTTAAGGGCTCTGCAGCAAGGGACAGTCAGTGTCTCAGCGGATCTCCAATGGCTTATCTGCTGGCTCTGCTCGGAAGCCCGTAATGTAAGACTGCGACAGGGACTCAGGTGGAGGAATGAATCAACGGGGAATCCGGGGGAAAGGAAGTAATAGGTTAGCAAGAGAGAAGCAGGTTGGATGCAGGTAGGGAAACGAAGTGAAACGTTCCCCTGCCTCTCCAAAAAGAGGAGGGGGAAAGTACTTGGTGCCAAGGCGTTCTCGCTGTAGAGAGCCAAATTATGATCAAGGACGAAGGTGTGGAAGGGAGAAGGAATAATGAGGCAAGGCGAGGCAGCCAGATGGAAAAATAAGAAGGAACGAAAAATGCATTGATGTAGGAGGAAGATCATGGCCCAGAGGAGATGCCCGGTTAAATTCTGAAAATGGGCATGAAAAGAACACAAAGCACCAAACGCCACTCTTGTGGAACCCCAGCTCTCCCAGCAATGCTCCCCAAATAATTCTCTTTCCATCCCTTGGGGCGTAGGTGGGGATGTGAAAGAAAAGCATAATTTTCCCACCCTATCAAGAGGAACATATGGCTTGGCACAACAAGGAGAAAGAAAGGAACTTGGATCTTTAGAAGCCAACAGAAATTAGGATTAGGGAATCCAGGGAAGATGTTAGAAGTGGCAGCCGTCAGTTTTAGATCTGAAAAGGCAAACGCTTGGGCAGGAACGGACTCCCTTTCTTGCCACTGCCTGCCCACTGCCTTGGCCTCTTCCTTGGGGTGTTGTTGTTGTTATTATTATTATTTACATTTACTGTATATCAATAGAAGAGAATATCTGTAGCTCAGGGTTGAACTGTGGAGTCCTTGGGGTTCTCTGAGCTTGGTGGTTTCCTTGCAGACGTTTCATTACCCGACTAGGGAACATCTTCAGTGCACTGATGATGTTACCTAGTTGGGTAACGAAACGTCTGCAAGGAAACCACCAAGCTCAGAGAACCCCAAGGACTCCACAGTTGCATTTATATGCTGCTCAACTCCCAGCAAAGTCTAAAGCTACCCAGCTGCTCCTTCCCTGGCTCATTTTGAAATACAGCAGGGAGTGAAAGGAAAGGAAAGGGGCTCCCTGCAACTCTCCAAGGCAGCCCCCAGTGAAGCCAGGGCCTTGGCAGATACCCAGTGCCAATCCTTCAAGCCAGCACTGGGGTGAGGAAAGGGCTACCATCCAACATGCTCCTCTTACCCAGAATGCACCTCTTTTAGCTGAGGTGGCTGGGAATTTTGGGAGGTGATCTAGGAAGGGTGTCCTGCTGTGTTAGGATGATAAGCCATTGAGGGGGGAGATCAACACATGTGGCAACAAATATTAGGAAACCCTCCTATTTCTCCACCCCAGACTGGGAGGAGCAAAGCTAGCTTGTAATAATTCTGAAAATGAAGCACCTAAATAATTAAATCCCGGGCCAGTAATCTTTTCAGGCTCGGGAGGCAACAGTGGCCAAATAAATACAGCTCTCCATAAATTGGCCAGTTCCTTTTAAAAATTAATTTTTTGTTAATTAGAGAGGGCACAAAGGTCATCAGAGCATATAGTGGAAGACTTTTGCTGGAGGGCACCATCTCTAGCTGGGCTACTAGTAACTGAATATGTGCAAAATCTGATTATTTTTTTTTTAAATCAAACCCAAGAGGTCAACAAATGTGTCACACTTACCCATTGATGGACGTCCTGGACATGAATAGGCTAAAAACAGAGGATACAAAGGAGTGATAAAGTTGAATGAACAACCAGCCCGACTTCTCAATACTATTGTTTAAGAAGATCCGGGTTCCTTGGTCAAGGTAACTCTGGATGAAGATAGGCTGAAGTGCTTCACACAACTGCTCCGTATTGCACACATACCACTAGAGGGAGGAAGAGATAAGAATTATTACTCACATTTCAGCTCTGCCAAACAAGAAGGAACTCGAGATTAAGCAAGAATTACTATGCAATGCCGAGCACATGCTTTGTGTGCAGGAAATCCCAGAATTTACCATCTACAGTTTAAAAAAGACTCGGGGGGGAGGGAGCAGGGAATGGGGAACAATACAGCTTAGAGACAGGGCACCCACTTCATGTATGCAAACTCCCAGTTTCAATTCTTGACATCTCTTCTCCACAGCTGGCAAAGGCCATTGTTGGAAATCCTAGGAAGCTGCTGTCGGTCAGCGCTGACAATGGGCTGTTTGATGCAGCAGAACACAGCATCAAAGATGCTGGAGAGGAGCTGCCGGTCAGAGTAGGTAATACTAGGCTATATGGACAAAGAGTACACCTAGAAAAGGAAGCCTCTTTTGAACCTGAGTTGACATAGTGGTCTAATTTCATAGGCAAAAATTGCCATGATCGTTACTGTTGCTTTAGGAAACTAATTCAACAAGAGTTTACAACTCATATTCACAGTAAAATCAGTCAGACCTTATGAGATGCCTCTGTCTTCCTGAGGTTGCTGTATTTAAACTTTTATTCCATATTCCCATCTTACCGGCTCCGCTGGCAGTTTAAAACAGCAAAGGATCAAATCTGAATAATATACATTAAAGACCCTAAGGCTGCAGGCAGCCTGTGAAACCTTGACTGCATCCGAGAGACCTCTAAAAGCAGTTACTGAATTGTAATGTTTAAGGTGACAGAAGGGCAAGATAATGAAATGCATGAATGGACTGTAATCATAATTTGAATTCAATATAAATTAAATCAAATTTAAGAGCATCCTGTCCCCAATCCCCACTGGTTTTTGGAGCACCAACACCAGCTTGCTCTAAACATTAAATGGTCTAAAGAGTAATCTAATCAACGGGCTGTACTTTAATTATACCTGGAAACAGAATTCTTTGAAGATGCTGTAGGCAGATAAAATGACCTCCAGTGTTATTCCAGAACCAGTCTGGTGCCTGGAGGTAAGAGTGGCCTCTTTCTGTATCATTTATTTATCTATTTATAGTTACGTAAAGCAGGCACTGGCTAAATTTATTTACCTATTTATCATTAGGTAAAGCAGGCACTGGCAACTTTTACGGGCTGGCGGGCACATATGGAATTTTTAATGCACACATGTGCAGACACCGCACCGATTCAGCAGCCAGCCACTGAAACAGCTCCCCCACTTCGGGATGTTCTCCATCAGCTCTTGCCTTTTCTTCTGGAGAGGTGTGCAAACTTCCAAGCGAAGCATGGTTTGCAGATACTTTCCATTTTAATTTTCACAGGAGACTCGGGTAACTTCTGGGGGGGGGGGAGTTCAGAGGCCTTATTGGAAAAGTAAGTTGGTGAGGGCTGGAGCTTCGCTAAGCTGCATGCCAGCGTTTCAGTTTTTTAAGATAAAAATACTGAGACAAAACTAAAATCAGCTGAAGCAGGTAACTCCGCAGGCAGGCAGGGAGATGCCCCTGAGCTCCACGCTGCCTACCCATGATCTATATTAAAAAGTGGTTTATAAAGCCCTCAGTCTAGCCTCTGCCAAGGGACTGGGGAGAAAAAAGGAATGGGGGTGTTGGGAGTAGGATTGGTTGAGAGAAAAAAAGGGGGGGGAGTCTTACTACTTTTGGCTTTGGCCAGACCTAGAGTCAACCTCTGGCCCTCGACAGATCACTCCTGATGGGATGTTTCTTCCCCTCGGGTCTCGATGGGCTACTGGCATCAGGCTGTTTTAAGCAATCTTAGAAACATCAGAGGGGCCATTTTATAGCACTTCCTGTTCTTGTCAGGAAACGTATTAATCTCTGACTGTAGGGCTTCCTGCTGTTCTAATTATCTTCTATGAAAGCTTGTAAATCTTTTGAGCTTTTCTTGAAAGGATGGGAGGAACTGATCACAAGAGAAGCTTTTCTTTATATAAAAGATTCTCGCAGTACAACATTTAGCAGCGAAATGCTGAATTACCATAACAAGTTGAAAAAGGCACAATGCAGGCAAACATCCAAACTTTCAATCCCATTGTTTTCTAGGGCTGCACGTACAATGTCGTTTTTACTCCCCCCAGGTTTATAATGGAAGAAATTCTATCTTTCAATTATCACCTGAAGAATTTGATGGAAGGGACAAGACTGTATAAATGTTAATATTATGATCAGGAGTCTGACACCGCAGCCTAACTTGGTGTGTAGGATGTCATTATCTTACAATACAGGAGAAAATGAATTTAGAATTAACTGAAAGGCATGACATCTAGACACACAAAGAACTTTATAAAGAACAGTTGAAGCTTCATATTAGGTAATGTCTTGGCAGCTGGCAGGACTTGGTTGATCTTGTCAGGCCTTGTTAAGATTTGGATAGAAGACCACTAAGATATCCCAAGGCTGTAGACTAGACTGGGAAGTAAAAAGAAAAAGAAAATCCCAGGAAAAAGGAATGGCAAACTACTATATACTGTTGCCAAAAAAACCCGCATGGACCTAGTTAATTCTTTCAGTCTCCAGATGGGAACTCGCTGTTTTGATTACTTGACTTCAGAACAGTTAAACTTTATAATTCATTTTTGGGAACCAACTCTGCACATTACAGTAATATATATTAAATCCAACTAGGTCATCAACAAACCTTTAGCCAAATGTAAGGATCCTTTAACTCCCTTGATGAATTAGCACAGGACTCCAAAGATTGGCAGGGAGAGGGCTAGTGAGAATATTGATTGAGAATGCAGTCAGACAATCATGAGATGGTTTTCCTGGTTAACTAACCAGGAAAACGTGTAATTTGTTAACAATTTAACCTAGTTTAATGCTTATTACAGTTATTTGCATATTGACCCAGTAAATTCTGTTCTAAAGAATAATATGCCAAATAGAATCACAAACCACAAGCTTGAATGATTACAGCTCCAAGTTCAGGGAGAAGCTAAAATTAAATATGGATTCCATTTTACAAGTCCGGGGATAAGAACCAGTCCATAAAAGGACAGCTGCCCTTTCTTTAATAACTCCTTGCCTGTTGACCACATAACCCCAGCTAAAACCAACAGAGTTCAAAGAATATTTATATCTAACTCTACCTGGCACAAGTGGAATATCTATAAATCATGTTCCTTTCACAGTTCCAGCTTTCTAGCAGATGTTGGCCCACATTCAAGACCTGAAAACATTTACACTTATTAAATTACTACTAAGTGTCAGGCATATAAATAATATATGTAAGATCAGAGTTGTCCAGATGTTTTAGGATACAGCTTCCATAATCCCATGGAACTTGCTTGTAGAATACTTATAAGAAAAACAAGGAAGCAGAAAAAGATGGACAAGACCAGGAACACTGAATTAGAAAAGAGCATGTGCCCAAAAGGAAAGAATTAAGGAAAAGATGATGAAAAGGGTGGTTATGAAGGCTGAAATATGTGGGAGAGGGGATAAGAACGCAACAACACAAACATGAGTGAATAGGTATTACTGCTATATATTAAGTAAAAGGACTGGCTGTCAAAGGCTATGCTGGCTTGGAATTCTGGGAGTTGTAGTCCCAACACAACTGGAGAATGCCAAGTTGGAGAAATCTGGCTTCAGAGGAGGAAGAACAAAAAAGGTCCCTGCCCTCACTTTCCCAAGGGGAGATTTTGCAAACTAAAATTTGGGGAATGCAAATTAGTTTCCTTCATCCGCATCACCACCCTGCTATCCCTCAACAACAAGGGGCACAGCTAGTGCACTGCACAAACGGGAAAAGGAGCTGTGCCAGGACTTGATCAACAACAGGGGGATTTGCCTGGCAAGAAAAATATTTCCAGTTCCTGGAGGTTTTAAGCCAGGGGAATTGAGGAGCGGGGCTTTTTCAAGCCTTAGGGGTCTTCACCAGCGCTTGTCTTTCCTGCTACAGACCTACAAAAATGGGATGGGGAGGGCTGAGAAAACGTCTTAGGTTGCCTAGTTGCTTCTCACGCTCCGGTCACGGACCCCATAAAGACGTGTCATTTGATCTATTCTTTTCCAGTTCAGATTGTTCTGCTATTGTGGGTCTCTGCACGTTCATTTCCCATGCCTTGTTCTTTCTTAGTATGTTGGAGGAGAGAAAGGAGAGGACGGATGGTGGGGATCCCCAGGATCGCCTGTCCCGTCCTTGGCCCTGGCAACTTCTCACCTTCCTGCCTTGCGCTCCAAGAAGGAAAACAGCCCATTGATCCGCACCCTGGAAGAAGAAATACCCCAACACAGATTCCACCCCTTCCTTTC